ATGGAGCGTCTTCAAAAAATTAAATATTAAATTACCATATCATCTAGCAATTCCACTTCTGGGTAAATATCAAAAATAACTGAAAGCAGACACTCAAACAGATATTTGTATACCCATGTTCACAGCATCATTATTCACAATAGCTAAAAGGTAGAAAAAACTCAAACATCCATTGATGAATGAATGGATAAACAATATATGTTAAATACAATGGAATATTATTCAGCCTTAAAAAGAAGTAACCTTCTGCAAAGGAGGCAAGACTATACACTGGAGAAAAGACAGTCTCTTCAATAAGTGATGCTGGGAAAACTGGACAGCTACGTGTAAAAGAATGAAATTGGAACACTCCCTAACACCATACACAAAAATAAACTCAAAATGGATTAAAGACCTAAATCTAAGACCAGACACTATAAAAATCCTTAGAGGAAAACGCAAGCAGAACACTGACATAAATCGCAGCAATATCTTTTTGGATCTGTCTCCTAGAGTAATGGAAATAAAAACAAAAGTAAACAAATGGGACCTAACTAAACTCCAAAGCTTTTGCACAGCAAAGGAAGCCATAAACAAAACGAAAAGACAATCCTCCGAATGGGAGAAAATATTTGCAAACAATGCGACCAACAAGGGATTAATCTCCAAAATTTACAAACAGCTCACGTGGCTCAATATCAATAAAACAAACAACCCAATCAAAAAATGGGCAGAAGACCTAAACAGACATTTCTCTAAAGAAGACATACAGATGGCCAAGAGGCACATGAAAAGATGCTCAACATCACTAATTATTAGAAAAATGCAAATCAAAACTACAATGAGGTATCACCTCACACCAGTGAGAATGGCCATCATCAAAAAGTCTACAGACAATAAATGCTGGAGAGGGTGTGGAGAAAAGGGAACCCTCCTACACTATTCGTGGTAATGTAAATTGGTGCAGCCACTGTGGAAAACAGTAGGGAGGTTCCTTAAAAAACTAAAAATAGAACTACCATATGATCCAGCAATCCCACTCCTGGGCATCTATCTGGAGAAATCCATGGTTGGAAAGGATATATGCACCCCAATGTTCATTGCAGCACTGTTTACAATAGCCAACACATGGAAGCAACCTAAATGTCCATCGCAAATGAATGGATAAAAAAGATGTGGTACATATATACAATGGAATATTACTCAGCCACTAAAAAGAATGAAATAATGCCATTTGTAGTAACATGGATGGACCTGGAGATTATTATACTAAGTGAAGTAAGTCAGACAGAGAAGGACAAATATCATATGATATCACTTATGTGTGGAATCTTAAAAATATGATACAAGTGAACTTATTTACAAAACAGAAACAGATTCACAGACTTGGAAAACAAACTTATGGTTACCAAAGGGGAAAGGTGGGGGGAGGGATAAATTGGGAGTCTGGGATTGACATATACACACTACTATATTTAAAACAGATAACCAACAAGGACCTGCTGTATAGCACAGGGAACTCTGCTCAATATTCTATAATAACCTAAATGGGAAAAGAATTTGAAAAAGAATAGATATATGTGTATGCATAACTGAATCACTTTACTGTACACCTGAAACTAACAAAACATTGTTAATCAACTATAGTCCAATATAAAATTAAAATTTAAAAAAAGAAAAAAGAAAGCCTGCAAAAAAGAAAAAAACAAAAAGTAAACTTCTGATCACACTACAACATGGATAAACCTTGACAGCATTATGCTAAGTGAAATAAGCCAAACACAAAAGGACAAATATTGTATAATTCCACTTGTATGAGGTAACTGGAATAGTCAAAATCATAAGAGACAGAAAACTGAAGAGTGGTTACCAGGGGCTGGGAGTTTGGGGAGTGGAGAATTATTGTTTAATGGGCATGGAGTTTCAATTTGGGATAATGAAAAGGGTCTGGAGATAAACAGCAGTGATAATGGTGGTTGCATAGCGACATGAATGTACCTAATGCCAATGAACTGTATAATGGTTAAAATTATAAATTTTAGTTATGTGTATTTTACCACAAAAAAAACCAACCATTGGAAATATTCATTTACTTTTTCAGTCTAATTTGCTTTATTTTTATCAATATTATATGCCAATATATTTGGCCCTTTTACTCTATATTTAAAAAAAATTTTTTTTAAGATGCCATGTTTTTTAAAATTGGAGTATAGTTGACTTACAATGTAGTGTTAGTTTCAGGTGCACAGCGAAGTGAATGAGTTATACATACACATATATCCACTTTTTTTAGACTCTTCTCTCATACAGGTCATTACAGAGTATTGAGTGGGGTTCCCTGTGCTATACAGTAGGTCCTTATTAGTTACCTATTTTATATATAGTAGTGTGTATATGTCAATCCTTACCTCCCAATTTATCCCTCCCACCACCCCCTTCCGCCCTGGTAACCATAAGATTGTTTTCTACATCTATAACTCTATTTCTGTTTATTCTACATTTTATTTAACATTTATTGTCTTATTACAGTTGGTAAGAAGAACATGGCTAATTCCATCCAACCCAAGTCAGTCCGGATCTCTTATTAACAGCTACAAAGATAGCCCTCCACTTGTAATGGGTAAATAGATCTCCAAACTTCATATTTTTTTACCTGGAAATCATTATGTATGAAATTATCTTACTCTTCCCACTAAGAAGTGGGCTTAGGAGTTGTTTTTTTACAAAAGAGGCTTTTTTTTTCTATTAAAATTATTTTACCTTTTGATTTTCGTATCTCAAAAATGTTTCTTATTGCTGGAATGTTACACATTAGGATTTTAACTTTTAAAAATTCTCTTATTATAGTTGTTTGAATTATGAAACTTTGGTCCTGTGAGAAACCGATTTTAGTACTCAACGTCTTATTACAGAACTCATCACCTCCAGTGTTTATTTTTTCTCTTTTCCACAGCAGAAGAGTAACTCTTTCTCTGCATTTGGTTGAATATACAGCTGTTCCCAAAGGAGCTCCCTAATTTGTTCACCCTTTCTGAATTCACATGTAATCTTCTAATCAGTATCTTAAGAAACTTTTTACCCTTCTTTAATTTTTCACTGATTTTATATGATGAGCATGACTCTCTTGATAGCAGCATACACACCATAATCTCAAAACATATTTTTGAGTCAATGGATTTAAAGCATAATTTGATTTTATAGTTGGTGAACGTGACTCAATTAACTTCACCAGGTGTATAGTTAGTTGACCTTGGGCTATATTTATAATCTTATTGAAATTCAAGTAAGGAAACAGAAACTGATTTGCTACCTCGTACATTTTCGCAAACAGTTTCTCTAGAATACTATCTAACAACTGTAGTCAACTTTTGGAACGGTACCAGTAAGTACTTACATACAGTTCAAACTCTGTAGTCTGGTGGAGTGGCTGGGTACCTTCAGTTGCTTACTTGAAATCATCACTCTATTTAGAATGTTTGCTCAAAGAACCTTGTGGCCAGGTAACCTCTCAGCTTTTAGCAGCCAGGCTTCCGCTAAAAAATTCAGCCCTAATGCCTGAGGACATCCATTGTATGTCATGAATTACTTCTCTCCAATGTATCTAGACTAGTACAAGTTATATACCACTGTTGGGAGAACTGAGAAATAGTCACTCGAATAATTTTGTTAATTCTGTGGTTCAAAGAAGGAGCCCTGGTTAAGAAAGCCTGGATGGTGGTACTGATGTGATTATAGGTTTATTCTCTGTATGAGTCGGTGAAGAAGGAGAAAGGCTATCCTATCCTAAGAATCCCTGACATAACACGGACAGGGCCTGTCATTATACATATGCTGTCTAGTGTATACCAAAACTGTTCTTTACAATAAGTAGGTACAAGAAAAATGAAGCCAAGAGAGTTGAGTAATTTGTGGGGGAAGCAGGATTTGAACTCAGTTCTGCCTCTGGAGCCCATTTCTACCCCTTTCCACCATGCCACACTGCTGCCATTGGCACTTCTGGCCTTAGCTGCTTCATAAAAAGTTCTAGGTATTAAAGAATTTTAAGCAGGCAAATTAAGCAATAGTATTCCTTTTCACTTCAGACAGGATTCTGATGGTGATACGGAGAATGGCTTAGCAGAGATACATACTGGAAGCATTCTACTATGAGACCAGCTAATAAGGTTACTGCAATGGTCCTGAATAAAGAACATGGCAGGAAGGGTGGGGAGAGAAGAATGACTCAGGAGTTATTTAGGCAGTGATTGGCTAGTTGTGAGGTGACCAAAGGGGTGGGGGAAAAAGCAAAAAGAAAATTATAAATGACAACAAGATGACCATCAGTCCTTAAATAACTCAGAAATTTACATCTTACTGATGGTAGGTCAGTGGCATTTATCTTCATATATAAAAGGCAGCATAATAGTCACTTCTTTACATCAAAGATTCTATTCTTAGGAAAAAGTTGAAAAAGAGAGTCATGCAATATTAATCTACCAGGAGGTGAAGTTTAAGAACAAGAGAAATATAAAGATGTGACTTGATAGCCATAATCCTTCTGACTGGTACAATTATGCCAATTCAAATCTAATGCATGACAGGAGCGGGGTTCTGAGCTAGCCAGAGGTATAAAATATTTATCAGACTAAAATTAACCAGGCTGTTCTCCTCAAAAGGAGATTCTAGGTAGTCTTCAGCAGGTCACACCCAGGAGGCAGAGTGTACCTCCTCCCTGGCTGCCTTCAACTGGATCAGTTATGGTCCCTGGGGCTGCTGGACTCTCTTACCTGAGTGACTGTTTCTCCTTTATGCCTGTTGCTGGCAGTCACATGTCCCACTATCCTCCATGGAGTTTCCTCCCCTTTATGCTCCATTTAGTACCCATTGCAGTCTGGCCTACTCTCATCAATTACTTGCATCATCTTAATTATTCGTGATAATTATTCGTGATAAGGCTACAAATATAAAAGCAGTTGGGAGTATAAACTGAAGATGGTGTATATTAATAGTTTCAAAGAAGACCTAGGCATGTAAGACTATACCTTTCAATTCTCTTCTTGTTTTCCTCCATTTTATGATTTGCTATCTTTATCAGGAAGTTGATATATTCCTCTGTCACCATCAGTTTTCCTTTATGGGTTAATGGAACTTCTAAGCCATGTGTGCTCCGGACAGCCTGCAAGGAGCAATTTAGATATGATGACTTATGTACTAGAGAAACTGAAGATAACTAAAGAAAAGTCCCAGTCAGGGCTGTGTTTATATATACTTTAGCTCCATTACAACATTTAAGTTTGTGCTTTGATATAATTTAGTTAAATACAGTTGAATCAAAGGAGATTCAAATAGATTTTCCCATCGTATAAAATCATTTGTAAAGCAAGTCATTCTATACATTGTCTTTCAGAGAAGCACATATTATCAAAGAATCCAATGAACTTAACAGTATCACTGTCACTAAAGCTAAGGAAGCTTTAATACACTACTTAAAGAAAAGAAATAAATGAAACCTCAACAGAAGCTTCAAGGGAAAATCAGAATGGACTGGATGCTAAAGGGCCTCTTAGCACTGCTTGAGCAGGGTTGTTACAAGATAAACCATGCCTTTTCTATCTCACAAAGTGGCTGCTTTCTCAATGCTTTAGGGTTGCCAATGTTACTATACTAACCTGTTGATGAAACTGTCAACATATTCCAAGTAAATCCAAACACTGGATATAGGTTAAGAAACAACAAAAACTATTATGAGGCATAAAAATTCATTCAACAAGCCTTTAATAAGCATCTGCAGTGTTCTGGGCCCCATATAAGGTATGAAGGTACAGGATGAATATATAACATGGTCCCTGCCCTTAAAAGAGCTAACACTTCTGAACAGGAAACAAACAAGTGAACAGAGAATCACAATACATCATGGTGCTATGACAGAAGAAACACATACGTGTACATGTGCATGCACGCACGTACACGTGCACACAAAATGCTAAGGAAACGTAGAAGAGGAGCAACTAAATGAGACAGGTCGTGGTTTTATGGGAAATGTGGCATCTGAATTGGAATTTTAAAGGGTAAGTGTAATTTCACCAGATGTAAAAATGGGAGAAGGGGAGCATTCCAGCCAGAGGATTAACTTTCCTATAGTCATGGGAACATCAAAAGCATAATACATTTGGGGAACAACCAATAGTATTCTATCTGGCTGAGGTGGAAGTGTGCTGGCAGAACATGAGCATAAATAAGGTAGATGAAAAACAGTTTATATAAGGCCTGAGAAAACACCAGGAGACCTGGACTTCTGTTAAAGGGGGATTCTGACAGTATTGGCTAGAGGGACTGAAGGAGAAGATGGGTAGGAGGAAGACCAGTCAGGAGACCACTATAAAGATAGAGGTGAGGGACGATGACGGCTCAAGCAGGCACAGTGGCAGAGGGCATGGAGAGATGGAGTCAGGAGTGAGAAATCAGAGGTAGATGGGACAGGACTTGTCGCTAATTGAATATGGAAGATAAAGGAGAGAAGGTGAAAGAGTGGCTCTGTTCTTGCCTGGGCCACCACACGCAGTGGGGACTGAGATGGGGATGCAAATCAGTACCGTAAGCTTTCATTTTCTGTTTAGTCATGCTTTACAGATGTCTTCTTTTTAAGTCACCTCTTTTTTGGAAAATAGGCTATTTGTTAAAAATAGAAAAAAGTAAAGTCTAGGGAGCTAGAATGGAAGCTGATCTGAAGTAGTTCAAAAGCAAACAATGTACACACCATGCCAAAGAGTAAACACAAACAGTAGCTACTACGTGTGACCAGAGAGAACAGGGCAAAATCACTAGGGTTGGCTTGGCCAGGAAAGGACTCAGAGAGGCTGTGGGACTTAGAAGCAACCTTAAAGAACTTCTAGTCCAGGGGTTGGCAAACCTTTTCTGTGAAAGGATAGATAATAAATATTTTCAACTTTGCAGGCCATATAATATCTGTCACAACGACTCAATTTTGCCATCGTAGCACAAAAGCAACCTTAGACAGTAATTAATCAAGTGGGTGTACTGGAACTGCCCGCATGGGGGCTGAATGTGGCCCTAGGGCAGTAGTTCGATAGATCCCTGATATAGCTGAGAAAGTTCAGTCCCTGATGGATCCAGGCAGAAGACTTTAGACCCCCTGTCTGTGATTCTTTCTACTACATCATGGTGCTGATTAAACTGGGCCTTGACTATTTAGGAGGAGGACGGAGAGAATCAAGTTAAAAATAAGTGGAGGGGAATACTGTACAACAAGACCTCAAATGTAAATCTAACAACTCTGGACTTCACCCTGTACAGAAAAGTCAATCACTGAAGGTTTCTGAGCAAGGGAATGACAAGAAGGTTTGAGTAGAAGGTTATTCAATAATCTGGATTACTTCATGATCAAAAAATTGCTTTTTGCCAAAAGGTGTCGTACCAACATAGTCTTTCCTCTCTTTCCCACTGTTATGCCGGAGTTCCTGAAACCAGAATCTATTGCCACTGAATGCTGTAAGAAAATAAATTTGTTAAATTTGGACCATCTGGCTAAACAAACAAACACTTTAGCCCTACACACTGCAGAAACATTTATAACCCCAAATCTATAATTAAATAAAACACTAGTTGATTAAACTAGCATTGCATTAATTTTGGTAGAAAATTTAAAAGTTTAAAATTAAATCTACTCACATACCTATAAATTCAAGTATAATCACAAAATTTTACCAGAATCTGTGCATCCTGCAACTGTCGACACTGCACATGAAGAACAAGTGGTTCAAATTTCAAAATGGCATCACCATTCGCTTTCTTTAGGGCTACAATCTAAATAAATGGAAAATGTTAGGATCAGACACAAGTACATGATCCTGTGCTTTGGTGAACCTTTATACTATGTAACTTCAATTCTTCCAAGGAACTTTCAGACTCATTCTGCATCCTTCCACAGTAACTTTTCCCTCTGTTTTCTTGGTCCTCTTTCTCCAAAATTATTGATCCACTTATTCTTTTAAGAGACCTGATTTCTAATTCTCCCATAAACCTTCTGTGTCATTCTTTCCAACCATACCTCAAAAAAGTCAACTACTACTCTATTTAATTCCATAGCAGATTTTTCATTAAGGAATATGGTACGTAAAGACTAGAAGGTCTAGAAGGGACTAGAAGGTCTGTCTAAATGTTTTGCTGTTAGATTGAGGTTTGAGACACATATACTATTATGTCTCAGCTAGAAGCTATATAAAGCAGTTGGTACTTTTGTCTACCTAGTCTCCCTGCACCATCCTCCCTCCTTCACATCATTTGATTCTGGTGGCACTGTCAAGCGTGACCCTGTCACTCATCACTCCCACTATCGTAATATCAGAGACGCCAAGTGCCTAGGTGTGATCAAGGATAGCATTCCATTCTACTGGCAAAAATAGCTGATCTCAGCGGGGAGAACACCTAACCAGGAAGGACGACTCAGTGTCCTTTGGAAATGATACATGGATCATAAAAAGTAAATCTTTTTCTGCTGGGGTTCCTGGCAGCTATCTTTCCTGCCACAAAGATTATCTGCCACAGAAGAGGAGAAGGGCAAACATACAGAGAGAACCAGTACCCAAAGGAGATGGAGACTGAGTGAGCTTTGAAGACAACATTTAAGCACCTGAGCCAGTAATGTAAAATGCCTGACTAATGCAAACTTATATGAACTCATCTAAACATTTTAATTTAGGAAACTAAATAATCCAGCACAGATAATAACCTCCCACAACTAAAAAAAAAAGCCATTGTAATGAATTCTCTTTAGGCTTTATAATCTACAGTCATTATGATTCTATACATAAACCACCTTGAATTTTCTATTCTTTTCATATGTATTTAAAGTGACTGTGAATTAAAGTTTATTTCTAAATTTATATATAAAAACTTACCACATCATCTTTCACACAGAGTTTGTGTGTAACCAGTAGCCAGCAACAGTTTTGTTTCTGAACCTCAGAACCATTTATACCCTAAAGTGAAAAAATAACATAATTAAATTTATCATATAATATTTACAAAATAATAAGTACAATGTATAGCATATTTTAGGCTTTCTTAAATTAATAATCCCACGTGATTTTAAGTATTACTGAGAACAATTCAACAGGCTTTTGGGTAAAGTTAACGTAAATGTTAACAAAAATGAAACCAAATTATTTGAGATAGAAAGTAATTTGTTTATTAAGGTAAAAGAACTTAATAAATATTTTCTGAAATACGGTCATGATTTTGTCAGGAGCAAAGGGATTATCACAAGGGGCTGTACATGAATAGCCCCTAAATTGTACTCTAGCTGTTTTATATGATTAGCACAATATTAAAAAAAATTCTTTTTTTAATTCCTTTTGTAAGAAAGCACTGTTCCAGTCCCACACAGGACCTACCACTTTTTACTGACACCTGATCTGTTCATACCTTCCTATGTCCCTAGTCGCTATAGGCATAAATTTGTGACCTCTGGATTAGACCTTATGTGTAGTCCCAAAGGGCAGAGCTAGGATTGAAAGATCAAAATTTCAAGAGGGCAAATATTTTAACGTAACTTTTTCCTTATTAACTGGAAAAATGTTTATTTGCTAAGTTCTACTAGGTACTTTAGATATAAACAGATCCTACCCTCAAGGACACTGGAAAGAGGATGCAGGAAACACATGCACTTTTAAATCACTATACTTCTACAAGGTAACTTCTTTTTTTTTCTTAAAGTTATGCATTTTCTCTTTCTTTTTTTTACAACGTAACTTTTATACAGTGGGTACACAGGAGACTTTGCTGTCTGGCTTTGGAAAGGAGAAGAGCTGTGCTTGTCCTAAATAACTGATTTGTTTTCACTGAATGACCTCAGTGACTTATGTTTCTGATCTTATGCTGGGTGCTCTAAATCCTACAGCCAAGTGTGGCCCACCTCTAGCAAATTTACAGAGTCTAGTGGTATATTTTGAGAACTAATGCCATCTCTGCTTCATCTTATCTATACTCCCTTTATGCAGATTTTCTCACTTTTTATTTTTCTTTTTGTATTGCCTATTTGTAAGTTGATCCAAATTCTTCCAGAAATAAGGCAAAGTGAAAATAAACACAAGGTATAAGATAATACATAAAAAGAAAAGAGGTTCAGAAAAAGTCCTAAGGCAGTTCAGAAGAAATAGTCATGGCTTCCAAATGGATGTGTGTGTTTATATTCAGGTAGAAAAGGGGAGTTTGGGGAGGTACGTCTCAGATATGCAGAAATGGGGGAAGACATTTTAGGAAAAATAAACATGAGCAAAGGCAAAGGCAGATAAATATAAGAGGGGAAAGAGAATAGTTGTTTCAGTAAACAGATTAAGATGAAGAGTAATAGTGGAAAATAGAGCTGAAAGGTATACTAGAGTATTTCAGCATAGATGAGTGACATGCACAGAGCTGTGCTTCAGAAAGGGGAATCTGTTAACAGTGTGTAACATGGTTTGGGGTAGAAAGACTGGTAGAGTTCAGTGAACAGGTAGAGTTCAGTGACCTGTTATGAAACCACTGCAGAAATCCAGGTAAGACAGGGCAGGAGAAATGGAGGAAGAGAGAGAGATCAAGACAAGCAAGCGTGCCAGTGCTCAGGGGGCAGTGGAAGCAATATAAGAATGAGCAGGCCCTGCCAGCCTGGGAAACTGGCAAATGGTCTGTCAGTGAGGAGCTAAAGAATGAATTTATGAGTGTGCTGTCTTTCATGCTCTGAATTCAGTCCTAATGTTAAAATGAACACAGAGCTAGCTTTTACAGTGCACTTAATATGCCAGGCACGGTGCTAAAGGTTTCAAATAAATTATCCCATTTCCTCTACATAGAATCCCTATGAAGTGGATACTCTTTATTATCCTTAGTTCATGGAATAAGAAGGGGCTAAGTTTAGATAACTTCCCTAAAGTCACATAGCCAATAATACCCAAAACTGGTTTAGAATCTAAGCAGTATCACTCCAAAGCCTGAGGGACTGACTGCTATCACAGACTACACACTAAAGTACTTTCTCAGGTAATGTAAAAATTACCAGAGTTGTAATAACGGAGTGAGCCACTAGGAGGCAGTGAACTTCTTAACCATAGCGATCTTCAATCAAGTGGTTAACAACGATTTGGTACAGCGGTTAACGAGAAGACAGCCGCCTCGCCAGGCTGGGAAGTCCTTAAAATTCCTTAGTATTAAAAAAATAAAATTCTCTAACCCTTGCAACTCAAGATCATTCCCAGGCCAGTAGTTTCAGCATCACTTGGGGGCTTGTTAGAAATACAGATCAGACCCTACTCTAGACCTACAGAATCAGAATCTGTATTTTAAAATATCTCCAAGTGATTAACAGACACATTAAAATTTTAGAAGCATTGGTTTAAGTCACCCTCTCAGTTTCCTTGATAAAGAAACCGAGACCATCGGTCAGAAGAACAAACACAGACAGAGTGTTACATTGGGTGAGCACAAGGCTCCTGGTGTTGCACACTACAGGGCAGGCGCTGGAAGGGCACAAAGGGTCCTGCTCACCCCGTCTAGGAGGATGATGCGGCCAGAGCAGGAACTGGTGGTGAAAAACTGTTCTCGCCCATTTAAGAGCTGCACAAGCTCTACCACATCCTCATCCACACTGCCTTTCCGGCTGAGGTCCGCTTTGCTCAGACACTGCGCCTTCCATCTTCTGAACTCTGCGCTACGATCCATGCGACGAGGGAGTCAGGGTCTGTACTTTCACGTTAACCCCGCCTTTCCCTGGGGGCAGCCATATTGAAGCCAGTGGTGGCCGGAAAGGTCCAAACTCCTTCCTCGGGCCCGCCCCTGGGGGCGGGGCGAGGCGGAGCCTGAAAGCGCCGCGGGTGACGCAGCCCGTGCTTTTTTGCCGTGGAACCTGAGGGAACCCTCACAGATTTTGATTTCCCACTCTAGAAGCGGGTAAGTGGTTTAAATAGCCCCCTTAGTTCAGACTGCGGACCGCCCCCGCGCTCGTTCAAAAGGAACCGAGCCGGATTTTGGCTGCGCTCCTGTCCTGCTTTCCGTCCTCCCCTAGAACCAGTGAATAAGGTGTTAGTGGCCGAAGTTATTCCCCTCCAGGGGCTACAAGTTGGTAATCCGTAAATCACCAGGGCAGTTTTACTTGCTGGTCCTGAGAACCCGGCTTTGCCTTCTGGCAGGGTGAGCGTTTCGGGTCCCACGGCAGGGCGCCCGTTGGTACTCCCCCCATCCCGCTCCCCATGCCTGTCCTCCCTCTAGATTTCCCCTCTGCCCGCCCTGGGATCTGGATTCCTGCGGCCGCGCGCGTTTGCTGTGACCCCCGCTACAGGCAGCCGGAGGAGCCAATTTCTCCTTTCAGGCTCCTGTTTCCCAGGGCTCTTTCTGTCCGGCCTTTCCTCCTGCTTTGCCATCAGAGTTGCCGTCTTACTTTTGGAGAGAAATGTGTAGATTTTTTTCATCCCCCGCCCCACCCCCATGGCTCCCACCTAGAAGAATTTTCAAAAGAAAGAAAATTAACAAAACACCCTGTGAACACATCGTGGGATATTTACGCAGTTCCTAGAGGAAACTTATCTCAGTGACCAAAAAAGGTGTGTTAATGATTGAACCACTGAAAGCCTGAGGTTTGGTCTGTTAGTCCGCAACTAGTAGAAATGGCGGTGTGATTCCCACTGAAACCACTGGGATGCTCCATGAGTGTCTGGTCAGCAGTAGTAAATCCCACCGAGCTCTGCTCCATCCAGTCTTTTCCTCAGAATACCTGGAGGGGTTTAGAATAATTATCTGTTCAACTCCTCCTCCACCCCTTATCAGAAGTGGGTACTGAGATCCAGGCCAGTGAAGTAACCCGACAAGGTCACATGGCCAGGAAGAGACTTTTCTGTGGCTACTTTTGTTAAAATTTTTTCTGGGTTAAGAATAATAAATAATATGCTGACATGAGTCATTCTTGCTCAAAAGGCAGCACATTTTGTAATGTTTGATTCTCTTAACAAGTTTTTTTTCTTGCTAGAAATTCTTACTTAAGAATTATTTAAGAATTTTCTGTTTGCTTTTATGATGTGCCTTTGCTTTGGCTTTGTGAATTGATCTGTTCATTTTGTGTGAAAATATATTTCCCACATTTTCCCTATCTCTTTAATTTTCATTTAAACCAAATGGATTCAAGTGTAGCTTGGAAAAGATCACTGTTTGAGGAAGAATTTTAAATTCTGTATTTCCTCCATTTGCAAAGTATGGTTGGCAACCTTTCAGAGGTAAAAAGTAAAACCAACATTAAACCAAGGTGCTCTAGTTTTTTAAAGTTTATATTTGATAAATAGAAAAACCTATTTGAACTATAGGCTTAATTAAAATACACAAGCAGTGTGACAAGCCTGCTGCTGACTGCAAATGATTTACTCTGAATAATAGAGCTTACAGCATGTGAGGCCTGCTCTGAAGCACTCACCATGTGCTGTTGCAGTTCATCTTCACAAGGATCCTATGCTAGGGAGTATTGGTCCCGATTTACAGATAGGGAAATTATTAGTTTTCCTAATAGAATCACATCCAGTGTATCTCTAGTAGAGCCCTTAACTTAATGGGCATTTGAAAATTTTCATACTCAGAGCAGATACCTTAATCATAAAATATGTAATGCTACCTGTAATCTCTAAGAAATTAAAGGTCCTATATGCCAGCATTTCAAAGGGTGAGATGAAAAGGATTTTACAGTAAGGGGAAAAAACACCTAACAATATTTAAGGTGTTGGGTTCCAGCTGTGCTTCAGTGTGACCCTGGTGAGTCTCTTAACCCCTTGAATGTTTTCTCATCCATAACATGGATGGTGATTTTATTTCCACTTCTGCATACAATTAAATGGTGGTTTTAATAACTGTTGTTTTTCTACCTATTGTGAAAATTATATCAATGGGTGTGAAAGATGTGCTTTTTAGAAGAAATCAGGTATCGCAGGGGTTTAAGAATTGTAATTACTATTAGTGTGTTGTGTTATTTTATTATTTTTTTAGCATAGTACCTATATTATGAAGCAGATGAGGATCCTGTGGGTAGTTGAGGGGGTTCAAAGGCAATGAGTGCAGATTGGAGCCTGATCAATCATGGTGGCAAAGGCTCAGTGGGAAGTAAGATCGCCAGAAACAAAGTAGAAGTCAGAGCTGTCAAGGTCATGCCCTGTTTCCTTACGAGCTCCATAGGATAAGGTGTAGTACTGGGCAAAGAAGGGGGGTCTTCTAAATCCAGGATTAAGGATGAGTCTCCTCCTTCCTTTGTTCTTTTCTTCCAACTTAGCAAATGTCCAAAAGTGAGGGGAAAAAATGTATGTGCTAGATATTTTTGACAGATCCTATTTCAGGGTAATTTTGCTTTTATTATTGCTACAGCTTTTTGAGGGTACCAGTGATGTCTGTTGGTGAAAAGATAGATGCGAGAGCTTGAAAGAAATAAATAGGTAGGAAGTAGGTAGATATTGAAAGTCGAAAAAGAGCTACTCCTCTTAACGTGGTGTGTGTGTGCATTGGGGGAGATGAGAGCGGAGTGCGCAGGAGCTGGGGAGGGGTGGGGCTTGTTCTCTTTGCCCTCTGTGCTCTCTGAGTTTGGTACAGTGCCTTGCTTACAGTTAACGTTCAAGAAATACATGTTGAATGAATAACAACCAGTGTTTGGTATTAGTGTTTTGTTTAAATGATTCTCTGGACTGTGAACTCTTTGAGGCTAAGGACTTGATTTTACAAAAAAGTGCTGTAAATATTGTCACATTAAATCAAAGATGACTATAGAATTATAGAACCAAAGATATTTTAACGAATAAGAAATTGGAAAGGAGAAAATAGATGGGAAAGGAACTGTGATACCACTATGTATAGGAGTAAACATTTGTCAGGTTCTGTGCTTGACACTTGCCGTCTCTTGCATAGTAACCCTGAGTAGAACTCAAGTGTTCAGATGAAGAAGCTCAAAAAAAGTGACTGCCTTGCCCAAGACCACACAGCTAGTACATGATAGATCTGGGATTCGTACTGAGAACTGTCAGATTCCACAGCCCACACTCTTTCCACAACACCATGCTGAAGACAAAAAGGAAAAAACAAAAAAACTATCTTCTTATTTTCAGAGCGGAAAAGTCTGATCTGTGCAACCTTTTCTTTTTCTGTTTTATTTTCTTTATGTATATATTTCACTTTCTTCTCTAAGAAATACTCAGCTTGAGCGAAGACCCAAATAGAAATGCGGTAGTGAGACTGCTGGGTAGGTATGGCGTGAGCTGCCTTTTCCTGGTCCTAGCTCCCTGCACAGGACTTCTCACCCTAGGACTGCTTGGTGCTCTATAGTGCAGTGAGGCTTATGCCTGCTTCTGCCCCCTTTTTTTTATAAGAGGGCTGCCCTTCAGGATTTGTCATTGCTAAACAGCCTTTTAGCAATGGAGAGTTTACTTTCTCCTCTGTGCTAGGTACTATATTAAATCATTTTAAATAAAGGGTTTTTAAATGATACAACTTTTGATTAATTATATCAAGAACTTCCCATTAACACCATCAAAGTGCTTTGATTCCCTTCACACATGGAAGGCTACTTTATAGTTAGCATGGGCTCTGTTCTGAGGAGTCCTGTGTTGAACTGCAGTACAGTAAAGATCTTTCATCTCAAGCCCTAGTTTCTGCAACTCTTTTTGATGTTTCAGTGGCTCGTGGTTGGTGAATACGATTATTCCAGAAGTTAGCAAAGATGTTCCCGGTGGTGGCAGAGTCTAACGATACTTGATATGGCTAATTTCAAGAAATGGTCATAGCACACAAATAAAATTATGGAGATCAGTCAAAGCCCTTTCATTGCATCTCTATAGGTATAAGATTTTCAAAGTTATCCAATTCTCTATATAAATATTCTTTACCTTTTCTAAACTTATTTTAACTCTTAAGTTTTCATTTCAATATTAAGTGGTAGCGGAGAAAGGTTAACTATAAATTACCCTCATGATTAAAAAATATTACATACAAACAGTGTTTTTAGTTTTTAATGTGTGTTCTTCTTTGTTAAGATGAATGAGCTTCATAAAACTAAGTGTTCCAACATTGATAAATCTCAAAAACTTAATGCTGAGAAGAAAAAGCAAGTTTCAGAATTCAGTACAATATGATCCAATCTAAATAAAGTTTGAAAACATGCAAAACAATAACAATAGCACATATTGTTTACCAATGCAAATACATGTGGCAGTGGTATTACATCATGCCTGAGAAGGATGAGCACTGAGTTTATGGGAATAGTCATCTCTTAAAACTGTGGGACAGAAATGGGATTGGGGACGGGTACCAGAGGCTTTGGTTACATGTACATGTTTTAGGTTTTTACAATGTTAAGATTTGTTAAAGCTGAGTGGCAGGTAAATGTTTATTATATTCTTTATATTTCTTTCTATATTTGAAATATTACATAATCTAACAAAAGAAAATCGATTTATCTAATGTTAAGAAAACTTAAATTAGCTCCTAGAATTCCAAGATGTTGCAGCCCAAGCTTACACCAAAGGAAACCTAAGATGTTGTATCATGCTTCACCTATCCAGATGTTTTTGTTTGTATGTTTGATTCCCTTGTTGAAGGCACTGAATCCCTACAGGAAGTAATATGAAGTACTTTGCTTTGCAGCTGAAGGATTTGTAAGATGAAAGGTCCTCAAACATGAAATGAGATCAGTGGTAAGCTCATGATTTAAACTGTTGTTTGAAAAATTGTTTGATCTTCTCCCTCCAGGGGAAAAAACATAGTGATAGCCTAGATACAATATGACAATATGTTGATTTTTTTCCTTAGTATCTAGGTCACCATGGCGACTGGACAGAAGTTGATGAGAGCTATTAGAGTTTTTGAATTTGGTGGACCAGAAGTGCTGAAACTCCAGTCGAATGTTGCCATACCAATTCCGAAAGACCATCAGGTGGAAATCATTACTTAAAAACAGGCAATAATTACACGGAGTGTGCGTCTCTAGCACATCAAGCTAATGTTCCAAAGAAGCAAACTCACAATGCTTTATAAAGACATTGAATTAGGACAGAGTTTACACTGTTTGCATCTGTAAGCTCTGACAAGGCTAACTTAATTCTAACTAGTGAAGTAAATGTATGAAAAGGAATAACATCTTGTAAGAAAAGTTTTAAAGTTGAGAATCATCTGTGTAATTGGATTTTTCTGAATGGAGTCATAAGTAGGTTTGAACAAGTTATTCTATTACAGACTTTCAGTCATGATCTTTGTTTTATGCATGGGGAAAATAATTTTCTTCTGCATACATGCTTTTTCGCATATAAGAAAATTTAAATGCAGAGTTTAATCATTTCCGGTGACTTCAACAATATACTTTTTCAATAAAAATTGTGTATTTTTATTATTGCACCTTCCATGGCTCTCAAGTCTAATTTCCTTAGCAAGCTTTATGAGAGTTTTTACAGTGTGGCCATAATTTGGCAAAGATTTATTTCTTATCATTCCTTCTCAACAGACTGCTGTAACAACACAAGCTTTATCTGGTTTCCCCGAGAGGTCCTGTCATTCCTTCTGTCTTTGCACATACTATTCCTTTAACCTGAAATAGCCTTTTTCTCCCATTCTGAAAGAATTTCTACTCATTCTTTAAGACCTAGCTCAAATACACTTCCTTTGTAAGACCTTTCCTTACTTTTATAGCAGAAGTAATCGTTCTGTATCAGTTAAGGTAAAATTAGCTTCTATTGTTGATGTAGCCTCAAAACGTCAAGGGCTCAACAATAGAAAATGATGTCTTATTCACTAAATTCCACAATTCTAAAATGTTGGTGGATAGAGTTCTCCTCCAAAGTGATTTAGGGACCTGGATTTCTTCCATCATGTGGCTCTGCCACCTTCAACACCTTTCTTCTGAGTTTGCTATGAAAGGGTGGAGACACTATGTGAATTGCCTAGGAAGGTCTTTGTGGGCCAGGCCTGAAAGGAGCTCTCATCGTAACTGTGAAGGAGCCAGGAAGGAATATTCTTCCTACCTGCCTAGGAGGAGGAGGAAATAGATTTGATGAGCACATAGTTGTCTCTGCCACACATCCGCTCATATTTCCACCACTGTTTTTCCCAAATGTTTATAATATAGCACATAAACCATTCTGTCTTATCATTTTTCTTTTTATTAGTTCACTCAGATTTTATTTTAGTTTTTAAATTTTTATTGGAGTATAGTTGATTTACAATGTAGTGTTAGTTCCAGGTATACAGCAAAGAGAATCAGTTATACATATATATATATCCACTCTCTTTTTTCTTTATATTCTTTTCCCATATAGGCCATTACAGAGTACTGAGTAGAGTTCCTTGTGCTAGACAGCAGGTTCTTATTAGTTATTTTATATATTATAGTGTGTGTATATGTTGGTTTGTAAAACTGTAATGTGAGCTCATTGAAGGCAGGGTTTTCCTCACCATTTTTATAGCTCCCATAATCACTACAGTCCTAGCGTAATGCTGAATGAATGCCTAAATGCTCTGTTTGAACTAAAGTACATTGTTATTGCAGGTTCTAATTAAAGTCCAAGCATGTGGTGTAAACCCGGTGGACACATATATTCGCTCTGGTACTTACAGTAGAAAACCACTTCTACCCTATACTCCTGGCTTAGATGTGGCTGGAATAATAGAAGCTGTCGGAGAGAGTGTATCTGCTTTCAAGGTATTACATTTTTAATTATTTCTATTTTAGCTTAATATGTATGTATTTTTTTAACATTTTAACATAGCTGTAAAATATATCTGTGTTTAAGTCTTTAAAAGGCCCCATTACACAGTTTCTGCCACTTGGGGGACTCCTCTAGTCAAAAAAGAAATTACCTTTTATCCAGAGACCTTGCTTGTCTGATCGTTGGGAGTAAGTGCTAGGTCATTTCTGTGTTTCCATATCCCCGCAGAATTGAACTATGATCCTTTGATTTGACAGAAATACGTAAGGAAAGGAAAGAAGCAAGGAAATTATACTGTTTCCTAACTCTTGGTAATACAAAGCCAGCATAGTTTTTTATTCCTTCTATAAAATTAGTTTCACAGAATACAGGGAAGGCTAATTCTTTTGAATAATCAGTAAAAGATGAAAAACTGCAAGGTCAGCTCTACATTTTTAGAGCTGTGACTCAGACCAAGGTGACCGAGTCAATGAAAATGTTATGATCAGGGCTTTCGTTATTTATGTGCCAAAAGACATAAAAAACATAGTATATTCATGTTCTTTCATCTTTCCTCATGAGGTCTTGACCTGCTCACCTGTGGCAGCACATTTACCAAAATTGAACTGAGACAGCGAAGATTAACGTGGCCCGGGCCCAGGAAGCCGGGCAAATTCCTACAGCTTTCCACTCCTCTGCCTGTGGCACTCTGGCTTCTGCCCCCGCCGCTCCACTGTTGCTTGCTCATGTCACTAATGGCCTCTATATTGCTGGAGCTAATGGGCCCTTTTATGTCATTATCTCTCTTGACTTCTATGTGACATTTGACACTCTAAGCCACTTACTTTTCTTAAAAAAACTTTTTCTTCAGCTCCTGTGACATCCTCTCTCTCCCTTCCTCTCTGGGCATCCTTTTTCAAGCTCCCTTTTCTCTGCATGCCCCTCACATCTTGATGTGTTGCCCAGCGCTCGCCGTCCCTACTTAGACTCTGCTTTTTATATTTTCTCCCTCATGATGGTCTCATACACACCCTTGGTTTCCATTATCACATGTGATATCCTTAGCTTAGAATCTTCTAATAAGCTCTGGACCCGTGCTGTCCAAATACAGTAGCCACTGGCCACACATGGCTATTTAAAATTCAAATTCAATTAAAATTAAAAGTTCATTTACTCAAATGCTTAATAGACCCAGGTGTCTAGTGGCTACCCTATTGGGCAGTGTGGATGCAGAGCATTTACATCATCACAGAATGTTGTGTTGCAAGGCACAGGACCCACATCGGCAACCTCCAGGAACCTCTTACTCATTGTGTCTAAAAGGTAGCTCATCTTTTCTCACAGCAGATCTGCTGCTCTCTCGTGTGACTGTCTTGGTGACATCTGGGGTTTGAGGCTTACCTCTCCATTCACTCTCCCTCACTCAGCTCTCCCTTACTGGAACTGTTTCCTCTCTCCTCTTTTCCTCCCCACTGCCTGTAATGTAGTTCCGGTTATCTTACATGGTCCTTTACCTGGATTTCTGTAATAGATACAAATTACCACCCTCCCTTCTTCCCCTGAGAATCTATCCTTGCTCTATAAGGAGTAATTTTCTAAAATGTACTTATGATTATTATACATTTCTGTTTTAATTCTTGCATTAATTCTCTGTAGATTTCAAGGTACTGCTGGAACTGCTTATGTTATGAAAGAAGACTGTTTCGTGCTCTCTCCCCCACCTATCTTTTTCCATTCTCATCTCCCATTCCTTCTCACCCTGTAGTTTATTCTTTAGTAATAACTGTCTGTTCTTCCCTGCATATCCCATGCTCTTTCAACTCTGTGTCTTTGTTCATATTGGCTCTTCTGCGTGGCAGAACTAAACTGAAACTTATAAACATGGGTTCAAGGGCTTTTACCCTCCAGCTTTCATTTCTTTTCATTTTATCTCCCGAAACTATTACATTCCACATCTTAAACTACTTATTTGTTGGGAATGAATGCTGTTGATTTCTCAGCACCTATTCCTGCCACTGTTCCTTGACGTACTTTGTTTCCTTCATCCATAATGACTTTTCCCAGGTCTGGTTTTCAATTCAAGATCTTGTTCTGTCCTTCAAAGCCTACCTCAAATACTAGTTTCTCAGTGAAGCTGTTCTTGAGTCCTTCAACTTAGAAATAATTCCTTTCTTTTTCTTGTACCTATCTTTGATGGCCCATCATATTTGCCTTGCTTTGTAATTATTTCTATCCTTTTTTTTCCCTCTTCCTAGCACTTAAGAAGCTTGAGATTAGGGAGAGTGTCTTGCTATTAATATCCATTACAGAACTTGAAGTACTACTTTCCATAGTGGATTCTCAGAACAGCTTTGAATTATATTGAAATCAATGCAATGTGTTTTTAAGCTGTAAAAACAGAATTAATCTTAAATTAGTCATACTTGACCATTTGTAGGCAACACTGTTAAGCAGTGATGCTTGTCTTTGACTCCTAGATGCCTTTTGAACCTTTTTTATCTCTACCTCACCACATAGTGCTTTATTTATAGGGCAAATTTAAGTATTTTGAGAATTATTGCCTTACTGTTTTGCTTATTCCAAGGAATATTTCCTTTTTTATTCTCTTTAAGAAATAGGAGTTAGCTTTTATTGTAATTCATAGCTGACATAGAATTCAGCTAATAAATGACTGAGCCGGGATTTGAATGTAGGTATGGCAGACTCTAATGTTCATATTCTCTCTACTACATTGAGATTGTTGAGGCTAGTTCTTTAATAGACCTGTGAAATAGATTATGAAAAACTGTATTCTCTTACTTTATCTTGGGTGTGTGTGTAGCAGGGGGGGCAATAATGAGAAGAGGCAAAAAATGATAATGATTTTCATCATTGTACAGTGTACTCCTATATTACTGAAAGGAATGGAAGACCGTTCTTTCTCAAACTTGGCCACTAAGTTTGGTTTTAGGCTGACCTGCATAACAAGTAACATGAAAAATATTTTCTACAGGTGCTTTTTATTTTCCTGTATCTTTGTAAACTATTGTGTATGTGTGTGTACACTATCATATATATTTATTCTTGAATCTGTAATCCTACATAGGTGGCAACAACTCTGTTGCCTATTTCATGCTCAATTAAAAAGAAATCTTATAAGATTTCCATGTATTATGGAGAAAAAAAAGAAATAGCAGTGAGGAGAGGTGCTTGTACTGGGCAGTTTAATTTCCCTATTGCGCAGGTTACTTTAGGCAGGCCTGTAGTGCTTGTGTGGTGCCTTACCTTACCCTCAGTCATGCATCTGCTTTCCAGTAGCAAGGACCCAGCAGACGTTTATTGAGAGTTTTTATGTTTCTAGTGCTGTGACAGGTGAAGACATCTGTCCTGGCTCATCTTTGCTGTTCAGGATCCAGGCAGAGCTGCCTGCTGTTTGGTGTATGCATGAAAATTTAGGGAATACAGAAACAAATCTATGGAAAAGATTTAGAACAGGTGTTGAGTGTGTGGAAGAAACCTTACCTTTTTTTTTTTTTTTTTTCCGGTATGCGGGCTTCCCACTGTTGTGGCCTTCCCTTTTGCGGGGCA